TACAAGAAATTTGCACACACACACACACACACACACACACACACACACATATATATATATATATATATATATATATATATATATCAATCGATTCTCCCGTCGAGTTCGACGTATGAGGGTCAAGCAGATCAGTTTCCAGGAAACTGACAGCCCGACGCCAGCACATGAGATTTGATTATAGTGGTGAAAGCTTCTTGCAGAACCATCCACACTTTTTGAAGGGTCGAATACAGAGACCTGGTGCACTACGTGCCACAAGGTCCCCAAACGACCCTCCGCAGGTTTTGAATTCAGAGTTGTCCTTCTCCTAGACCAGTGGCCACCCAAGGCTATAGAACCCAGTCTGTACTGCTATTTAACCCATAGCTGGAGGGAGAAGAAGAGGATCCACACCTATATATATATATATATATATATATATATATATATACGTAATTGTGTACTTAAGTAGAAATCCTTCTTTTATACAAGTTTCATTAAAGATGACTGAGAAGGTACTATGATTTAAGTTTTTATTCATCTTTTCTTGCCTTCTGGACATAAAGTGTGTTATAACTGTCCAAATATTCTCTATATCCAAGCGCTTTCGGCTATTCTATTAGCCATTATCAAGGATGTTTATTTTATTTTTAATTGAATGTATAGCTGTTTTACGTGTGTATCTAGATGGATGTAATATTTTGATTTTCCAAACACGGTCAGCACATTTTGGCCGTGTTCATAATTTACGTTATTGCGTGTTGGCTTTTTATTTTATTATTAATGTTTACATTATTTTTAGTTTTATTCTTTTTTTTACATGTGAATCAAGTTCTTATATTTGCATTTTCTACGAATATATTGCTGATGTAGTTTTATAGTTTTCCGTTCCATTTGTCTTTAACCCTCCGTCTACCAAGAAAACTGCCTTCCATTAAATACCACATGGCTCCAATGGACTCATTTCTCTTTTTTTAAAACTATTCAAACGTTTTACATATTTTTATGATATGTATATAGAATGGACAAAGAAATATCAATTTTAATCCAAATTTATTCTTTGAAACAGGAAAATTACAGTGAATTTAATTTGAAATTATAAACTTTATTAAATTATTTTTTTTTTATAAAATTACAATTCATCGCTGCATTTTGCACAGAATACATTCAAATGGCTTCGGCAGATATGTTTTTTGGCAACTATGACAGAGAGTTTGTGTTTTTGTATCCATTTTAGGACTACACAAGGTGCATCTTTTTTCTTTTTTTTGATGTTTCGTGGACAGTGTATTGTTTACTAGATTTTGTAGTTGTATCAATACATGAGAGGCCCGAATTCCTTCAGCATTGGTCCATTCTTGGATTATTTCCAGGGGATTTACCTTCATGAACAGTATCAATGATGAAAGAGCTGTATCACAAGATCTTGCAAAATGTAAAGGTCCATCCTTTTGATATAAATCTTTGTAGGATTGAGTTCCTCCTTGTGCCCTTTCAGGTGGTCTAAAAGACCAAATTCCAGACTTATCCTTCGAATAATGCTTTTCCTTCATTACTGAATGGTTTGAAGAATCACTGCTGTCAGCTTTGTCGTCATCATTGATATCATTATCCGATTCAAAATAAGTAATACTGACATTATGGACATTAGGAGGCACGGTGGAATAATGGATAGCGGCTCGGAGTGAGGAATCGGAGATCCCAGGTTGAATTCGTGAATACTTTCGGAAAGGTATGGACTCTCTTTTTCTCCCCTCCAGCTATGGGTAAATATCTGGACAGACCGTGCTTTTTTGATGGCAATTGGTCTGCTGCAGAAAGAAATGGCAACCTACTGCGGGAAAAATCTGCTTCGTCAGTCATGTATCGAAAGATACATGATCGCCTAAGCGTGTATGACGCATGGCACATGACTGACATTGTCATTTTCAGAAAAGTGAAATGAACCTATTTAGAATGGACGATATTTTTTATTTAATTAAAAATTTCAACTATGGGTCAAATGGACACAATTGTTAATAGGAGAAATCATCAAATAACAAAAAACAAAAAAAAATTAATTAAATTTATTTCTTTTATGTAGATTGAAAATGAAGAAAAAATAAGTGATAAATTTAATTCGGATAGAATTTACGATAAAGTTGAAGAAAATTAGAATTGAAAAATAATTAGGCGTTCATTGGACCCATTAATAGACTGAGGATTAAATGAGTTTTAATTGAGCTATGGGTAGAGAGATGTAAAGTGAGTCTCTCTTGATAAGTATGTAGTTGTATATCCAATATAATTATTCATGAATTTGGTTTAATCAGGAACTTAGTTCCTTAGGGGATATATGAATTCATGAATAATATTGGTTATCTGTAATTTGGATTTTGCATGTGAGTTATTGTTATTGACGATTTATTAAGACTAAATAGGGAGTTCAATATTCACTGACTGATTCACGCTTTCGGACTTCTTCCATATCTAAGTTAGCTATATTAAAGCACTAGTAGTTATTTCCGTCTTAGCTGGGTGCCTCGGGGAAGAAGCCAAAATTGAATAACCATACAAAGTTTGATAGGTCAAAAAATAAACCTAACACCCACACATTTTTTTAATTCACCCTATGCAAGGCGATAATGTCACTAAGACGCAAGAGGCTACTGAGATTAAAAAAATATGAAAATACTTTAAAAGGACCGGAATCTCAATCCTAAACAAAGAACAAGGGATAAACCTCTACTCTTTTTCAAAAGATTGGGGAGGAATATCAATGAGACTATAGGCGAAACAATCTACACTTATGGAGGAAAAAATATAATTAATGAAAAAAAATACAGGAGTAGACGTGAAATGTACCGACCAAGTGCACGTTAGAAAGAATTAGACGTTGGAAAGAATTAAAAATTTTACCAGGCACAAAACGAAATATTTAAACATAAATTATATTTATATATCTAGACAGACATATCTCTCTTTACCCAGCCTTTCTCTTTTTTCTTTCTTTTTCCTTCCCACCATTTTGAATGTATATTTTAAAACATAATGTATGTTTAAATATTCCGTTTTATGACTGGTAAAATTTTCAATCCATTTATTGTTGAAAAAGATTTGGGGCTGATGAGACGAAATCGAAATATTGGTTTTGCGAAATAAAGTATTACCATGGGTTTCTAAAGTCTCCGCTTTCATAATTATATATATATATATATATATATATATATATATATATATATACGCGATGCGATAAGAACGAAAGTAATATATAAATTCCAACGTTCACAGCATTAATCCAAAAGAGGAATCGATACCGATAGTAGAGCGATAATTATTTATTCATTATAATTTTATCATATAGATAAAACCATTTTACTCACTACACAGATGCAACTTGGTTTCAGAGCATTTCACCTCCACTTCGACGGGTGAGAATCGAAAATGATTATGAAGAATCCCACTTGAAAAATCCGAAAATAAAGATGCAATCCGAAAAAGCATTTTTTGGGGATTGCATCTCTATTTTCGTTGTCCTCTTATTACTGAGAAGTAAAAACAAGAACAAAATCTACTTCCATACCTGATGATGTCTGTAGGAACAGACGAAAGTTTGTAAAAAATTAAAAAGACCTTATGCAACTGGAATTTATAAACAGGTATCTTATTTATGTGTTTGCGACGATGTATTCTCACCATTTAAATCATTAACCTCTATATTTGTTTTTTGTATGAATGATTCATGAATTTATAAATTATATTTGCACCTTTTAATTGAAATATATATATATATATATATATATATATATATATATATATATATATATATATATATAAAGAATTAGCCTAATTAGTGGAGAGGTACATAAGAGAGCGGAGAATATATCAAAGGAGGTGATTTATAATTTTAAAACATTTATACTTATGGAAGTAAGAATTTAACAAGATTGTAAGGTTAGATCTTTAATATGCCTACAAAAAACAGTGGTTTCGTATCTTTGGTTTAATAGTTGGGTGTTGTTCAAAAGTTCAATGATACATATCTTCTCCTGTAAACATAAAAAAGCAAGGTTCGTTCAGAGAATTGCAGGTTCTGGCTTGTCTTAAAATTTTCCATTTAAATTTATAAACTTTTGACTAGTGTTTATCGGCAAGAAAAAATCAACACAGACCAATCAACATTTACCACCCATCCATCTATATGATAAAATTATTATTAGTAGTATTATATATTATATATATATACATATATATATATATGTGTGTGTGTGTGTGTGTGTGTGTGTGTGTATGTGTGTGTGTGTGGATGTGTGTGCTTGTTACTATATATAAAGATCGTGCCTAAAAGCTCCTTTAACGATAAAAACGACAAGTTTTATAATGCAAAACCTGGGAACAATTTCAATAATAGAATGAAAATATGAGGAATATTAAGAAATCTCACGTAACATTATTGATTAACACGTTTGATCTTAATGGCACATTTGCATCTCAGGAAAATCTTCATAATTCCAGGTGTTCATATCACTATTTAAAAAAAAAAAACCATTAAAAAAAATCTCGTTTCTTTCAAAAGAATAAATTTGGAATATTTCTACAGAACCTTGTATAATTTATAAGTTGATTTACTTTTTTTTTTTTTTTTAAAAAAGTCGGTTTCTTGAAGGTCTGATGAAATCCTCAATACAAAAACAAACAAAGGTACACTCTGGCCAGCAACAAAGGAGCATTTTCTTGCTGTTTATTAATGTGCTGTTTTGTCCACATGATATTGTTCGTTCCTGTCGAACCAGTGCTGCAGTACCTGGTCCAGGAATTGAACTCACGACCAGTAAATGACATTATAATATGTTTTAAAAGAACCTATATCCACTAGACATTGTACTTTTGGAGATTTTATATTCAATATCAGTTGTTCTCGACACCTGACAATGGACAAAATGTTTGGGCGAAACATTGTTATTATAAGGAAATCTATAATAACACAGATGACAAAAAAATTGAATTACTTTAAGTATATCGACAAACATTTATATGGTGGC